GGGCTCTGCACTGACAGCGTGGGGCCTGCTTGGGATTCTCTCTCCCTCTGTCTCTGCCCCTTGCCCGCTCACACTCTCTCTCCTTCTCTCTCAAAATAAATGAATAAATATTGTAAATAATTAAAAATAAATAAATAAAACGGCAGGATACGTCAATCTGTTGTTTCACGGAAGCCCCTGGACACCGATAAACATGGTTCTGTCCAGCAGTGTAGACGCTGCTGCATGCTGAGCTCACAAAGAACAGTCTCGGTTCCTTCAGCAGACGGGTTGGCTTCTGCCTCACGGCTTCACATGTAGTGAGGGACAGGGTTCCCCTCGTCCCCATCTTCCCACCATGTTGTGGCACGATCTGAAATGTTGCCTCTCGGAGAGGCCTTTCTTGCCCTCCGTCTGGGAACTTCCCCAAACATTCATCTGGTCACTGCTTCATTTTTCTCCAGGCTGTGACCAGTGTGTCACATGCAGCTCAGTCAAGGTCGTGTTTGTTTTCTTGCTTCCTGACCCATCTGTGTCCCTGGAACATGGGGACCGTGACTTACTCCTCACACTCCTGACTTCAACAGGGCTTAGCAGGACAGGCACCACGCCGGAAGTACTTGTTTTATGGACTCGGATGAAAGAGTTGAGAACATTCCACGTAGATGCGGGGTCGGCTTCTACTTATTCTTCAGTTACTCTGGTTTTTCTACATTGACGTTATGAAAACATGTTCTCTCTTGGCAGTTATCAGTGTCGAATAGTAGCCGCGTCGTGACACATGACATCCCCATTAGGGTCATTCCTAGAAAATTGTGGAAGGATCTGCAAGAGCCTACAGTCCCAGACGCTGACGTGAGTGATGCCCGTCCTCTGCTTGCAAACTAAATGGTGTGGTTTGAAGTCCCTGATTTTAGTTACGGTCTCGCTATACATTTCATTTGAAGATTGTATGTACCTGGGAGGAAACGAGAGTCATTTTTAAAGGATTCTCCAGGGAAAAATTGGAATGTTTGCCTTCTGTTGTTTATATAAAACACCTTTAGACCGTGCTGCTCATGGTAGAAACGCCACACGCTTCACACGCAGGACAGAGAATGTCCTGCTCAGTCGTAGCGCTTCCATAAGACTAACCTAGAGTAGTCCTTGGGGGCAAGGTCACTTCTGTCCGTGTCCCAGAACTCGAGTTTTCCTCATCCCATAAGGACTGGTGTCCAGGGTTCGCGTAAAAGCGAGGAGGAGGGGCTGTTCCGGGCGTGCTGCCAGGAGTCCCAGAGCCCCTGACAGTGAGCGTGGTGCCAGAGGGTCCCTTACATTTTGCTTACAATCAGAGCAAGAAGGAATTGTGAAAATATACCGCGTAGGCTATTTACTGGACTCTGGGAGGCCATCCACACCGACCGGGAGGAAGACCGCGCTGTCTCAAGCAACGTTGGGGGCCGGGTCTGAGGGTCTGAGCTCTGGGGCCTGACCCACCCGCAGCGTCTGTGAGGTGGCAGGTGGCCCTGCGGGCTGTGCTGAGTCCCATCCCCTGGGCGTGCGCAGGTGCACTTCAGTGGGAGGGCTGCCCCCCTGGAACCGGGAGGACACCATGGGGACGTGGGCGCCTGGGCGCGTACCGGTGCACGTCAGTGGGAGGGCCACCCCGTTGGAACCAGGTGGATGCCACGGGGACAAGGGTGACAAGGTGTCCCGGAGGCAGGCGGGGGTCAGTAAGGTTGTAGGGTTTGTTTTCTTTTCCTAGTTTTTTTTTTTTTTTTTTTTTTTAATTTTAATTTTATAATGTTTATTTATTTTTGAGACAGAGAGAGACCAAGCACAAATGGGGGAGGGTCAGAGAGAGAGGGAGACACAGAATCCGAAGCAGGCTCCAGGCTCCGAGCTGTCGGCACAGAGCCCAACACGGGGCTCGAACCCACAAATCCCGAGATCATGACCTGAGCCGAAGTCAGACACTCAACCGACTGAGCCCACCAGGCGCCCTTCTTTTCCTAGTTTTAAAGGAGCTCTGTTCCCACAACTTGGAAACAGGATTTCAGAGCTTCTAAGCAACTGCACGTTTCCGACATAGGTGGTGAGCACCGTCCGTCCTTGGCTGCGTTAATGGTTTTTCTCCTCCATTCTGCAGGTTAGCATCTATTTGCCAGTCTTGAAGACCATGAAGAGCATCGTGGAAAAAATGAAAAACATCAGCAATCACCTTGTAAGTGGTCACTTGTTTAGCGAAGAGCTTTCCCAGCATCTTGGAGGTGTCAGGCTCGGGCTGAGTGTCCTGGGAGGAAGCCTCGCCTGGCAGAGGTGTGGGTGCATCCTCGCTCACCTGGTGGCGTCCCAGGGTGCAGGTCCCCCTGCCGAGGCGGGCTCGAGGACCCGGCCTGTGGTGGAGAGCCTGCAGTCTCAGATGCCCTGAGAAGCTGTTCTAGTGCTTTTCAGCCCCCTTTGTAGTGGGGGGAGCCTTTGTATTTGCCCTGACCCCTCGTAGTCATGTTTATAGTGCGTCAGGGATGCTTTCAGCAGATCCTTGTGCCCCGGACAGAGCGTCACGTTTCGTTTGCTGATGTGTGTTTCTTTAACAAATCATTGGCATCAGCACAGCCGAGCGTCCCGTCCACGTACCATGTGTCTCGGCGAGCACAGGTCCGAGCTGTCCCAGAACGCCGGTGTCCTGTGATGGCTTTCACGTCGAGCCAGTCATCAGGCTGGGGGCCTCCTCTGCGGCAAGTCCGGGCACCTGCAGAGAGGCTCAGGGAGGCCCACAGGGAAAAGCAGGGCAATTAATCCAAGGATCTGGTTGTTTGTTCTTTCGTCCTGTGGAAATGAGTCAGCAAAGTCACTGAGACAGACCGAGTCATCGGAGGTGTTTTTCTCTTCTCTGGAATGTTTAAAAACAAAAAGTTTGTGGCGCAGCCACTGCAGTCTGGAATACTCGGTGGAAAGTCAGAGTGGCCAAGTGCATAGTGAGCATGACTAGATGACCAGAATTCTGCATCTGAAAGTTGTGGCAAGAGAATGAGGGAAGAGAGGGCGCTAGCACTCTCGCATCCCCATCCTGGAGGCGCTAGGAGGCCCTTGCTGAGACTCACAGCCTTGTCCCCACCTCCTTCAGTGGGGGATGCGGCCGTGGGGCGGTGCGCGTGGGACCCATGTAGGAGCAGGGAAGGCATGTGTGGGGGCCAGGAGTCCCCGCCGTCTGCAGGTGCCACCTCAGACTCCAGCCCCTGAGGGCTTGTCGGCCCACCTGAGCTTCCGGTTCAGGACGGGAGGTGTGTGTGTGCTGGGGTCTGACACGGTCCTGCTGTGCGTCACCTGTTAGCTTACAAGCCACTCAGAGCTATGTACATCAGCTTAGTGGTGACAGCAGGTGGAACAGTGTAGTGACCTGGTGGCAAAGGGGAGTCCTTGGGGCCACACAGACCTGGGCCCCCTCCTGGCCACACTACCCAACCTATGGGCCCTGTCCTGGGTGTCACCCAAAGTGGGCAGGATTGCGCACCTTCACGGGGGCTTTGCGACTTTCCACAGATGGAGAGGTAGGTACCTTATGTTCAGTGCTCAGTACATTGAGTCAGCGCTGCAGAGTGGTAGGTTATTACCATTGAGAAGATCACTGGGAGAAGCAAGATCCCATCCAGACCCTTAAGAGACAGAGGATGTTGGTGAGGGCAGCGTTCTGGTGAGTTCCAGAGTAGACCTAAGCGGCCGGGGGTCAGAGACCCGTCATCTGTCAGTTCCCTCCCTGGGTAGTGGCAGAACGGTGGCCTTGCACCAGACACTGGCTGTGCTCAGGGGATGTAGAGCTAATCGTGTGATGACTCAGATTTCTGGACTCGGAAGAAAGTGGAAGAGAGCGTTAAAGGCTGAAGTGAATCCGGAACCACCGCGAGCTGCTTTCCTGAATTAAGTCTATATAAAACCACTGTTTTTCAAAAGCAGCGAGAGTTTACAGATTGTTGTGTGTTGTTTTAATCCCATATAATTTCCAGATTCTATGGGAGTGTGCTTAATACAACAGTGTATTTCTGGGTTCACCAATAAAGTTGACAAGAAACACTTAACGTTTGAGGGCACGATTCCGATACTATGCAATAGTGAAGTTGGAGGACTGTTTTCTACTTAATGTTAAAAGCCTCAGGGGTGCCTGGCTGGCTCTGTCATGGAGCATGTGACTCTCAATCTCATGGTCATGAGTTCCAGCCCCACGTTGGGTGTAGAGATTACTTAAAACTATAACCTTAAAAACAAAAAATGCCAGGGTACCTGGGTGGCTCAGTCGGTTAAGCATCTGACTTCAGCTCAGGTCATGATCTCGTGGCTTGTGAATTCAAGCCCCCCATCGGGCTCTGTGCTGACACACAGAGCCTGGAGCCTGCTTCCGATTCTGTGTCTCCTTCTCTCTGCCCCTCCCCTGCTCACACTCTG